TGAGTCAGTGGGGCACAAACACAGCGCCTCGATTCGATTCTTTGCTGCTCGGCTCAATTTCAGCTCTGTACAGCTGCTGCTGCTGCTGCAGCAGCTTCAGAGCTGCTCACCACCGAAAACAGCAAAAATTGCCCCCTTTTTCTTCTTTTTCTTTTTCGGCGGCGGCTGCTGCTGACGTAAAGTGTGTCTGTTCTGTTCGGTTCTGGCTAAGCTCACTCGGCTCGAGCAGTCGGTCGGTCGCTTTCGCTTTCGCTTTCGCACGCTGTCGTTGTCCGCGAAAGGATCGACCACTGTTTTGTTGTACCGCTCTCGTACCCTCAGTCTCTGACACTGACGAGTGCGTGGGCAGCAGCAGCAGCAGCAGACGTCGAAGCCGTCACCGCATCAACAACATCACCGAATGCCACTTTTTGCCGCCCTCTTTTTCACACCTTTTTACCTTTTTCCTTTCCTTCTGCAGACTGTTCTACTTTTATGACAATCGCTNTGTACCGCTCTCGTACCCTCAGTCTCTGACACTGACGAGTGCGTGGGCAGCAGCAGCAGCAGCAGACGTCGAAGCCGTCACCGCATCAACAACATCACCGAATGCCACTTTTTGCCGCCCTCTTTTTCACACCTTTTTACCTTTTTCCTTTCCTTCTGCAGACTGTTCTACTTTTATGACAATCGCTCACCTTCCACACACACACCACTTGGCCTTCAACTCACCTCGAATTTTTGGAAGCAGCCTTTTTCTTCTCTCTGACAACTAAATGAGCAGCGACACGGCCGGCATGATCGACCACCTGCACAACCTGGCCAGCGTCTTTGCGCTGGTCAACCAGGCGGGTGGCTACGTTCACGGCCACGTGCAGGCCGCCTACGACTGGTACTTTGGCCTCTTCGGCCGCGACTACCTGGTGGCGGACATTGCCGGTGGCATGATCATCACCATGACCGTCTTCTGGGTGCTGGGCGCCCTCTACACCGTCCTCGATCTCACCCACTGGCCGGCGGCCCTCTACCAGTACAAGACGCAGGACAAGGAGGTAAGGAGCACTGTTTCGATTTTGCCTTTCTCTCCACAAACAATGTAACTAATTTTGTCCATTTCGAATCCGATTTTAGGTGACCTTCGCCGAGGTGCTGCACACCGCCAAGCTGGCGCTGCTCAACCAGCTTACCGTCCAGCTGCTGACCACCGTCGCCTACCACTTTCTGCTCGTGTGGCGGGGCCTCGATGAGAGCCCCCGCGTCCCACCGGTGGCCACCATGCTCAGCCACCTGCTGGTGTATGTTCTAGTCCAAGAAACTAGCTTCTACTACCTGCACCGGCTGCTGCACCGGGGCCGCCTCTACCGGTACGTGCACAAGGTGCACCACTACTGGCAGGCGCCCATCGCCATCTCCGCCATCTACTGCCACCCGGCGGAGCACCTGCTGGCCAATCTGGTGCCGGTGCTGCTGGGGCCGCTGGTGATGGGCAGCCACCGGTGCACCATCAGCCTCTGGCTGATGCTGGTGCACTTTGTCACGCTGAACGACCACTCTGGCTATCACTTTCCGATGATGCCCTCGCCGGAGTTTCACGACTACCACCACCTCAAGTGAGTGTCCTGGTTGTGACTGAGTTTT